TTGTGAAGAATGAGAGCAAAACATTTGCAAAGGAATTATTTTAATGCAGTTCATAAGAGTAAAATAATACCATGGGGTAGGGCATTGTGCAGGTTTCTTATGCTTCTGAATACTATTCTTTGCCTGTAATCAGAGCCTGTTTTTTTCTTTTCTTTTTCCTTTTCCCCTGGAGATTGAACCCACGGGAGCTCTACCACTGAGCCACATCCCCAGCCCTTTTTATTCTGTATTTTGAAAGTCTCACTAAACTGCCCAGGCTAGTCTCCAGGTTGCAGTCCTGCCTCAGCCTGTGAGACACTGCAACGATGAGACTGGGGACACAAAGGACAGTCAGTGTAGGTAGTAAATGATTGGGTTCCAACAGGGCGGTGCGGGCTGATCCAACGGGAAGGAAATCAAATGCTAACGTGCCCAAAGCCCTTCCCCTTCCTCCTCAACCTGTTGCCACGGTGACCTCCCTACAGGGAGTTGGAGGGGCTGTTAACTAATGCCTCCTGGGTGCCCCCTTCCTGCCCAGGACCACTCTACCTTTTGGCCCCCCTTGGGTCAGGTAGGCATGATCAGGGGAGAAGGGGGGTGTGAGAAGGAAGGAAATCTAAAATGCATACAAGGGGCAGGACACCTCCACTTCTTTGGATACTGGCTCTGGATCCCCTCTTCCTCCAGGAGCAGTCTGTCCCTGTTCCATCCTTTCCATAAAGCCTGCTTCCTGGGCTGGCCTGGGCACTGCTCCATGTTCAATCCTCACATCTGGGGAAAGGGGACTTGTCATCAGCAGTGTCAATACCAGCCCTGCGACCGTCTCACATATCTCTCTGAGTCTGTCAGATCTGTCTCACAGACTTTTCCTCCTCAAATGCATAAAACTTACATTCAGCTGGTTCCTGTCAAAGGAGTGTAAACCTGGCCAGGAGTACCTGTTGTCCATAGAGAGACTCAGGCAGAACGCACAGGGGACACTCGGAGGCAGCTGCTACAAGGGCGTCTGAACTTGTCCAGACCACAGTCCAGTGATGTGGTGGTCAATGCAGAGGGCCACCTGTTTCTATGGGAAGTCCCCTGCAGAAGTACCTCCCCCTTTAGCCTGTTACCTTAGAGTAGAGCTACATCATCTCATTTATTCAGAAAAAGGTTGAACTTCGTGTGTGAGGTATAGCTTTGTAATTCTGTTTCGGATGGGACAGGAGGAGAATATAAAAAAATAGAATAAACCTTCTGAGTTTTCTAAGAAATCAGATCTTTGAATAAAATGGAAAAGTGATGTTAGTGGAGGGACCTTGGGGAACACGGAATGAGGAGGCCAGTCACCTTTGAGTAGCACCTGAGCACCCGACCTGCGTTTCCTGTGATTAAACTCACCTGCCTGGCTGCTTGCTAGCTCCACTGGGTAGCATGTGAACTTGTGAATCCATGAACTTGGTTTGGGCCAAGCTGTGTGCTGCAGGTGTGCAGAGCTGGGTCTGGCTTGGGTGTGAGTTGCAGATGTGCAGAGGTGGATTGGTCCCGGGTGTGTTGCAGGTGTGCAGAGCTGGGTCTGGCCTGGGTGTGAGTTGTAGGTGTGCAGAGGTGGATTGTTCATGAGTGTGAGTTGCAGGTGTACAGAGCTGGGTCTGGCCTGGGTGTGAGTTGTAGGTGTGCAGAGGCGGATTGGTCGCAGGTGTGAGTTGCAGGTGTGCAGAGATGGGTCTGCCCGGGTGTGAATTGCAGGTATGCAGAGGTTGATTGTTCATGGGTGTGAGTTGCAGGTGTGCAGAGCTGGGTCTGGCCTGGGTGTGAGTTGCAGGTGTGCAGAGGTGGATTTGTCCTGGGTGTGAGTTGCAGATGTACAGAGGTGTATTGGTTTTGGGTGTGAGTTGCAGGTATCCAGAGAAGATTTGGCCTGGGTGTGAGTTGCAGATATACAGAGGTAGATTGGTCCCAGGTGTGAGTTGCAGGTGTGCAGAGCTGGGTCTGGCCTGGGTGTGAGTTGCAGATGTGCAGAGGTGTATTGGTCCTGGGTGTGAGTTGCAGATGTGCAGAGGCATTTTGGTCCTGGGTGTGAGTTGCAGGTGTGCAGAGCTGGGTCTGGCCTGGGTGTGAGTTGCAGGTGTGCAGAGCTGGGTCTGGCCTGGGTGTGAGTTGCAGGTGTGCAGAGCTGGGTCTGGCCTGGGTGTGTTAGCTGTATAGAGATGGGCTAGGGTTTTCCTTTCCCTCTTTTCTGGTTGACTTCCTTGTGTTGCTGAGCACAGTTCTGGTAGAAGGCTTGCCTAGCTTGCTGAAGGCCTTGGTTCTCGACCAGCACAGTTAAAACAAATCCATGTTGCTCTGCTTGTAGCTTCAGGCTGCAGAGGGCTGCTGGGCCTCTCCCGTGTGGCCCCCCGTCCTCCAGGATTGAGGTCCGGGGTTTCAAGGGCGATGGAGGACACTTTCTTAAGGTTAGACCACATGGATCGTGGGTGAGGTTGACCTGACACACCATCTGCCAGGCCTTCATTGGCCTTTTCTGGGTTCAGGTGTGCGGCTGGGCAGCCAGGAGACAGACGCAGCTACCCTTCAGCCTTCTGCAGGATCTCGTGCGATCACAGTGAACGTCTTCCTGTGGGCCAGTTTGGGGTAATTCCTGAAAATACTTATGATGGCTGTGATTTCTTAATTGCTTTTTTAAGGTGCTAGGACTGAGCTAAGCACCATAGCCACTCTGTTACCTCGGTGTTGGTTATCATCACACCTTAGATTTGTTTAATGTGACCCTGTCCCAGACTGGCATGCCGCCTTTGTCTTTCTGGACCTCAGTCTCCTCCTCTTTACAGGGAAGGTGATGGGTGGGGTTGGAAGCTTTTCTGTCTGTGTTTTGTGCTGGGCATGGACCCCAGGGCCTCCTGAGCTGGGCCAGGGCTGCCCCCCTGAGCTGCCCCCCGCCCTGCCAAGCCCTTGCTCTGGCTTCTGTTCCTCCGTGCAGTATCCTACTATCTGTATAC